GCTGCAGTCGCCTACCTGGAGTCCGCCCCGGATGGTGGCCACCTGGGCAAGCTCATCTTCAAGGACATCGCTGACGACCAGAAGGTTGTGAAGGAGGTGGAGGCGATCGCCAAGCGCTTCATTTGCTGGGATAACAGCAAGTGCCTGCACAGCTTCAAAGCCCGCTATCAAGGCACGCGACGTTTGCTCGGTCCTCTTGCATTGACTTCGTACGGCGACATGGTGAAGGTGGGGATTGTCACCCAGCCGGCTACCACGACCACGGAAGCACCGGAAACAACAACCACAGAAGAGCCGGAAGCACCGAAGAGTTACTACGGCAGTTGGAAGAAGAAGTGGTGGTCCTGGAAGAAGGGGTACTCCGGCTACCCACAGGCGACCACCAACCTCGTTCAGGACGGCTCGTCGGACACCGTACATTTCATGCAGATCGACAAGAACGGCAGCCACAAGGACCTGTGAGTCGCAAGAAGCATATGATCCAGTTTTGTGTACCCTTTCCAGGCATGTCAGGATATCTAGTCTCAATGAGAGCGTTTTGTTAGGCCAGCGGCAGCAGAAGCGGACATGCTTCAACGGAGCTTACTTCCAAAGTGCCGGTGGGAAGGGTTCCAGGGAGGCGGCCCAAAAGCGGCCTGCAGATCTTTGTTTGGTGTGTGTTCGGCTTGACGAGGGCTGTGCTTTAGGCTCTCGCGAGAGATAGGAGCGATCAAAAAGACTCACAAAAAAGTCACATATGCTGCTGCATAAGTGATTCTGAAGCATACTTGTGGCTGAAGCTCCCGCACGACGGGCCTCCGTGTGACGCCGCCACGCATCAAGCAGCTCCGGAATGCCTTTGGGGCTTTCGCGCTCGGAATTGAGAGTTTTTCAGATTCAGTACTGTAGCTGAGTCTTTGCAAGTGCCACCTAGTGCAGGGGCCATCAAAACCAAATTCATTCATAATAACAATCTTCATAACAATTCATCATAACTAATCATACGTATTAATCATAAAAAGCCTCAAAACAATTCATACTGAGACTGGCTAGTCATTCGTATTCATCCTACTAGCCATAATAATTCATACATGTATTCCTTAATGGCTCCCTCAGGCGGTTTCTCGGAGCCCGCCTTCGTCGAAGATGCGGCCGCTGCCTATGAGTGGCTCGTGACGTATGCGACCTCCGCGGCCTGACTTTGACACGGTTTAGAGGTTTTGGGATTCAGGTTAAGGTGTTTGGGGTTTAGGGTTGAGGGTTTATGCTTAGTTAAGGGTTGATGTTGATTCAGGTTCACGATTAGCAGGGCTGCGAAAGGACAAGACAAGCAGTGTGTTTACAGAACCGAAGACTACCCCCAGCCCTCTGTTGTGTTGTGTCATTGGTGTTTGGGGGGGTGGGAAGGGGATTGAGGAGTGTTGATTGAGCCTAAAGAGCTTTTGACACTTAAAGGGTACCGGGGTTTGAAGCAATGACATTTCGGGGTTTAGGCCGGGCATTTGGCGGTTCAGCGGCGCGAAGAAGAGGAACTGAGCCTGACACCCTGATATCTTACAGTAGAATTCTGACAAGGAACCCTAAGGAAGACGGTTCTAACTCTTAAGTTCTGTAGGTCCACATAGTACCGGTAGATCGAAACACCGACGACCTGAAGCCTCAGAAGAGGCACAACCTATACCATTCTGTAGGAATTGGGCTGCATATAAGGTTCAAGGTTTAGGGCTTAGGGTTTAGGGTTTAGGGTTTAGGCTTCATAAAAGGTTCAAGGGTTAAAGAAGACGAGCATCATATCATAACAATTGTCCCCAAGCCGCGATCAGAAAGAAACCCTAAACCCTAAACCCTAAACCCTAAGCCCTAAGCAGCTAGGAGAAGGAGTCCGTAACAAGAAACATGCACCCCAACCCACGACCTAAATCCATAACTTGAAACACCACCCGAGGAGAATTCGGTGGTGGATCCCTCCCGGATTTTCGTCTTCGGGCGCTCGCTGGGCGGCTGCGTCACGGTGCGGTGTGTTATCGAAGCAGAATCCAGCTTTTTCTACACCTTTCCGGCTCAAGCTAGCTGCCTTGTTTTGCCGTTGGACTCAGTGGAATTAAACGGCAATTTCGGTGTACCCCAACGCCTAAACCCTAAACCCCCCAAGGCCACAAGCGACTCAGAGAACGCTTCTAACAAAACCCCTAATCCGAAAATGCCTAAACCCTAAACCCTAAACCCTAAACTCTGAACCGAACCCTGAGCCTCATTTCGGGAGGTGCGACTGGTAGCTCATCTTCTTGGCGCTTCGCCGCACCTGCGCCAGCCAGAAGGACCGGTTTTGGGTTTTGCACGAAGGTTATCTGGAGTGTTTAGGGTTTAGGGGTTTAGGGTTTAGGGGTTTAGGGGTTTAGGGGTTTCGGGGTTTAGGGGTTTAGGGGTTTAGGGTTTAGGGTTTACGGGTTTAGGGTGTATAGAGGTTTAGGGTTTAGGGGTTTAGGGTTTAGGGCTTCAGGCTTTTCAGAGACTGTGATCTTGCGCTTCGGGTTTGCGGATGTGCTGTTTTAGAGCCTGCGCTAAGACTAATTAACCATGCAACTCACTTAAACCTTGAACGCTTATACACCCCGAGCCCTGAAAAGCAAAGTGTACACAAAGAGTTGCACCGACTCGCTGAGCGTCTTGCCCTCTTGGGGTTTAGGGCAGTGGATTTAGGCTTTAAGCCCTAAACCCTAAATCCTAAACCCTAAACCCTAAACCCTAAACCCTAAACCCTAAAGGGTTTAGGGCAGTGGATCTTTTGCTTCAGGCTCTAGGGCCCTTTGGGCGTTGGGTTTGTTGAGGGAAGATCTTGAGTCATTGGGACTGGAACTGCTGCTTAAGCTTTGGGTTTAGGGTTTAGGGTTTAGGGTTTAGGGTTGAGGGTTTAGGGTTTAGGGTTTAGGGTTTAGGGTTTAGGGTTTAGGGTTTAGGGTTCAGGGTTTAGGGTGTTTAGGGTGGCTTAAGCTT